ACATATTGACCGACCAACAAGAATCTGTTAAATGTCCACTATGTGCAAGGCACTGTGAATATGAAGGCACAAGTGAAGTCATCCTTGCCCTCAAGGAGCTTAAAGTCTATCAAGGGTTAACAGTATGTACGTATGTAAGTTTTTAAAAAGTAGATACAAGATAAGATTAGGGGGAAAGTCCTAGCAGCTAAGGGATCAAGAAAACCATTATAGAAAAGATGGTGCTTGAGCTGAGTCTTAAAGGAATGTCAGATTCTAAGGAACAGAAGTGAGAAAAGAAATAGAGTACTATGTGTGTGTGTGTGTGTGTGTGTGTGTGTGTGTGTGTGTGTATGTGAAAACAGTAAGGCCAGTTTGTCTGGACGTTAGTGTGCATGAAGGAGAGTAATGTGTAATAAGGCTGGAAAATTGGGGGACTGATTATGAAGGATTTTAAATGCCAAATAGAAGAAATTATGTTTGATCTTAAAGGCAATAGGAAGTCACAGCAATTCATTGAGCAGAGGAATGACATGGTCAGATCAATATTTTAGCATAAGTCATTTTGATAGCTATGTGAAGAATGAGGAGAGTCTTGAGGCAGGGAGACAAATCAAAGAGCTATTGTAGAAGTTCAGGTAAGAGGTGATGATAGCCTAAACAAGAGTCATAGATGAGTGGGTGGAAATAAAAGGATGGATGCAAGTTATGGACGTAAAAACAAGATAATTTGACAACTGATTGCATACGTGACGTGTCAAGGAAGATATTAAAGTTGTAAAACTGGGTGACTAGCAGAATGAGAATGGCCTCTACAAAAATAGGAATGCTTGTACAAGGGATGAATTTGGGGAGAAATGGAATGAGTTCTGTTTTGGATATGTTGAATCAAAAATGCTTGTGGGATATCCAGTTTGAAATGCCCAATAGGCAATTGGTGATGTTTGACCGGAATTTGAGAATCTAAGGATATGTATGTATACATATATGTGTGCATATGTGTCCCTTTGGACAGTTTGGGAGAAGGGAGAAGAACTGACCTTTTGGAGGAAGTGATGAAGAATACTCCTGTAGTTGACATGTACATATTGTATATAGAGATGATAACAAAGCATGTGAGTCAATGAGGTCAAGTGAGTGAAAAGCAGAGGACCAAAGACAGTCTTGGGAGTTTGTATAGTTAGACGGGATGATTTGGATGATGACCCAACAAAGGAGACTGAGAAAAAACAGGTTAAAAGAGAACCAAAAGCAGTCTAATGAAAATCCAGAGAGGAGAGAGTATGGAGGAGGAGATGGTGGTCAATACTGTCCAATTCTGCAGAGATGTAAGAAGGATAAGGATTGAGAAAAATCCATCAAATTTGGCAATTCAGAAGTCATCGGTAACTTCAGGGAGAATAATGTATGTATAGGAGACGAGATTGGCAATGTGGAATAATGAGGGTCAAGAGGCAAATGTACGAAATGAAATTCAAGGTCAGATAAGAGGAAAAATGGAATAAATGAATGGATGATGGAATGAGTGAATGAACAATGAAATGAATAATGGAACAAAAATTAGGTATTCAAACAGATTATATCTCAAAGAAAGATGTTCATATGAAATTTAAATTACTCAAGGTAGTAAGCATGCTGTCAGGTGTTTGATCCCTGGCACATGAACCCTCCTTTTTGTTCCTAATGAGCACTAGATGTGGGCATCACTAGTGTTTCCCACAGAACTGGCAGGGGACAGATATCACAAACTAAAAAATTGTAATATGTCAATGCATATATAATATGTATATATATGCATATATGTACATATATATGTATATATGTGTGTATATGTATGTATATATGTTCTAGTTATTAACATAAAATCATAAAATCACATAATCTCATTTTACAAATGGGGAAACTGAGGCCTAAAGGTAAAGTCTCCCTCTCTCAAGCTTACCCTGCAAGTTAGTAAGAGAGTTGAAATTAGAATCAGTTCACATGTTCCCTAGTCAGAAACATTTTGATTCTGAAGCATAGCATAACATATTGCTAAAACTAGTATTAAGGAAACAGAGCTAACCAGCTCTAAATCTGTTACTCGCTATCTATGTAAGCTTGGAAAGTGGCTTTATTTCCATGAACCTCCACCTCCTCATACGTCAAATGAAGAGGTTGCATTGGGTGACTTCTTAGGTCCTTTTCACCTCTAGATTAATTATACTTTGAATTATGGTCTGATGGTGATTCATGAAAATAACCATATTACAGTTAACCAGGTTTTACTATACATTATTGTTTCAGAAGATACTATTTGACACATCAGTTTTTTAAACCCCTGTGAAAGTGAGCCTTTGAATATAATACATTTACTATAAGTAATTTTAATGTTGTTGCAGATAAAATTTGATCTTTGGTTTATGCAAATCCATGTTATACCAATCCACTTTTATTATGATGCCCTACTGTATGGTAGATTTTGCTTCAGATTGTGCATAAATAGTTTAGAAAATGAAAAAGAATTAATTCTATTAGATTTATGGTCTTAGGAAATAGAGGTAGCAAGCTAGAAACTGTTCTATGAAACTGTGCTAGGTACATTTCCTTTTCTTTCCTAGTTTTCACTTTCACATTTCCATGTATGTGATTCATGGAAAAATTTTCTAACCAAAAGGGAGCAGTGACAAAATCACAAGATTTCAGAGTTGGGAAGGACCTCAGAGGGCATTTGGTTGAAACCACACTGGAACAGACATTCCCCACAACAAGTGGTCATCCACCCTCACCAGGAGGATTTCTGGGGTTAGGGAAAGTTCGCCCTGACGAAGCAAGGCATTCCACTCTTGTACAATTCTCCTGGTTTGGAAGTTTTTCCTCACAGCAAGCCCAAATCTGCCTTTCTGCAATTTTCACACACTACTCCCAGGTCTGTCCAATGGGGCTAAGACAAACAAGTCTGAAGCTTCTTCCACATGACAACCCCTCAGATATGTGTTGACAACTATTATTTTTCCCATAAGTCTTCTATTCTCCTATTGACATATTCTCAGTTCCTTAAGCCAAACCACATATGGCATGGTCTCTAGTCCCTTCACTACCATCTTCTGGATGCTGTCCAGGGTTTGCCAGTGTTCTCCCTAAAATGTGGTGCCAAGAAGCAAACACAATATTTTAGATGTGGTCTGACCAAGGCAGAGAACAGCAGTACTATTGCTTTGTCATTCTGGGTATCAAATGGTCTTTTAATATTGACTAAGATTGCATTGCCTTTGTTGTCTATATGACACTATTGACTGACAATGACCTTGCAGTCCACTAAACCCCAGACCTTTTGTCTAGCAATGCTTTCTCATTATACACTTAAGCAAATGATTTCTTTTAACTTGTATACAACTTTACATTTATCCTTATTAGTGTCCATCCTATTAGATTCAACCCATTATTCGAGCCTGTCAAAAATTTTCCAGATCCTGACACTGCCATTCAATGTTAATTACCCCTTCTATCTTCTAATCTTTTATGGGCAGCTAGGTGGCACAGTGGACACAGGTGTTGGGCATGGAGTCAGAAAGACTTATCTTCCTGCATTCAAATCTGGCCTCAGACACTGACTAGCTGTGTGACTCTGGGCAAGTCATTTAACTCTCTTTGCTTCAGTTCCTCATCTGTAAAATGTGCTGGAAAGCAAAATGACAAACCACTCCGGAATCTTTGCCAAGAAAACCCCAAATGGGGTCATGAAGAGTTGGACACAACTGCACAATAAATCTTTTAACAATCTTAAAAACTGATAAATAAACATGCCATCTATAGCTTCATCCACTGATTAAAATGTTGAATACTGCAAGGCCAAGGACAGATTCCTAAGGCACTTGGGCCTAAAGGCCTCCTTCCAAGATGACATCAATCCCTTAACTTTGACACTTTGGGTTTGGTCATTGTACTAGTTCTAAATCCTTTTAACTGTACTGCTATCTTGGCTTCATCTCTCCTTGTTGTCCACAAATTTATGTGAAGAATGTTGTATACAGTAACAACAGTATTGTTTTCAAAACAGCTTTGAGTGACTAAGTCATTTTGACTATTATAAATACCCAAATTAACGACAAAGAACATGTGAAGGAACATGTCTGCATCCAGAGAAAGTATTTATCAATAGAAGTATATATAGAATGGTTTTACATACATATATAGGTATGTATGTATACACATGCATACATATGCACTCATATGTACATGTGTTTATACACATGTATGTATATATGTATATATACATATATATTGTGTCTAATGATGGCCATCTTTAGGGCAGGGGGAGAAAAAAGGAAAAAAAGTTACATGATAACTTTATTATATATTAAAAAGGAATATCAAGTTGTACATAATAGATTTGTACAATCATCTTTTTTTCTATTCTACTGTGTTATGGAAATGCTTGTTTTATTTCTTAAATTCAGAATAATATAAAGTAAAAAGTAAAAAAAAAAAACAAATTTGGCTTAAGAGACTGAGGCAAATACATTGTTAAAAATCTAAGTATCTATAACTACACCAGTAGTTAATACAAGCAGGGGCTTGTAAACCACCCATAAGGATTCCCTCAAGTCATACATTGACTTAGAAAACCACATACTGATAGAATCTGTGTTTGATTTTATTTTTGTTTATTTTGTTAAATATTTTCCATTTACATTTTAATCTAGTTCAGACTTATTGGTTGACACTCTGACCTATATCATAGCCTAGCCTTGTAACATGGTCTAGTATAGCAACCAGTCTAGTAACATGGTCAAAAAAGGAAATGAGTCTTCTTCTACAAAATAACTAACGTGGAAATATCTTAAAATGATTGCACATGTATAGCCTATATCTGATCGCTTACCATCTCAAGGAGGGGGAAGGGAAAGAAAGAGGGAGAGAGGGATAGAATTTGACACTCAAAACCTTTTTTAATGTTAAAAAATGCTTTTAATATATAATTGGGGGGGAAATTATATATATGCATACATACATATATGTATGTGTGTGTGTGTGTGTATATATATATATACATATATAAATAATTTAAATGATATGTTTTTTAGGTTGTATTCATGTTTTTATTTCTCTTGAAGTTGGTGGCAGTGTAAAACTGGGCTCCCCAAGGGAGCCAGTATGGAACTAGGCTCATTTTGGAGTTTGGGTACACAGTTTATATAGAGCACAGAGGGGTGATATATATGATTTATTTATATATTTTTTTTCCCAGGAAATACAACTATAATACAAATCAGGAGGTGGTAGCCACAGAAAGAAACTTTGTCCTAAGCAGTCGCATGGATTGTAAGTAAAGTCACAGGACAATAGATTGGCATGGCCTTTTCAGCTGTAATCATTATATTGATTTGACTATGGTTCTCTGAGCAATAGGTAAAAATTGGTGCAGGGAGAATTATAGGGTGATAGCAAGGGAGATGGATAAATACCCACTGGCTAAACCTTGATTTCCCAGTGGATGGCTAGATGTGATACAGCAGATCTCTACTCTCTTCCATGTGAATCAGGACAGCACTTGTCAATGAGAAACTGTACAGAATCTTTTGTGCTCTCTTTGATTTTTCAAAGTTTATTGACAGCTTCTCAACCTCTCCCAACAGTCTCCTCTCTTCGCTTCTTTCATACCCTAAGATGAAGTTCATCTGATCTTGGTGAATTTATCTCATTGAGGGCAACCAGATATTCTTTTTAGTATCTTCTCACCCTTTTAACCAGTTTGGTTCTATTCTTACCAATACCAAGATCATTCTTCCTGGTGGAGAAAACAGAAGCAAAACAAGAGTTAGATAGTTTTGTCTTTTCATCATTTTCTGCTATCATTTACCTATCCCTAGCAGCAATCCTATCCTTTCTTTGATCTTCCTCTTATCCCAAACATGGCTTTTTAAAGAGTCTTGTTGCAGGATCAAGTTATAAGGTGTCCCTTCCTTCCATCTCAAACACACACACACAGAGATAAATGTATAGACATATGTATACTTACATATGTACGTATGGGTATATGTATATTTCTATTTTAATCGATGAGTTCTCTCTGCTTTCACATCAATCTCTTCAGACAACTTCCCCTATATTTCTCATCAGAATCATTTGTGTTTGCATCTGTGTCTTCAGAATTCTATCCCTGAGACTTTTCCATTCCTATTGATTCAACATTCCCCTACAAAATTTGAGGCCATGGGATCCCACTTATACTTTCCTTTGAAATCTTTGTAATCCCTTTCCCCCAAATCTGGGCTAAATGTTAGACTAGCCCATTTTCCCTCTCCTTCTCTCTTATCAAGTCTAAAGTGGAATTAGCTCTTGACTACAGAACTCCCATTATCTATGCTTCAATAATTAATTCTACTTTGTTGGTTAGAATCAGGACCAAAGAAATAGTTCACATTATTGTCTACTCCATCTTTGGAAGAACAAAATTATTAGTAAATGAAGCAAGCATTAGTCAACTGTTCTGCCTTTGGAGGAAAGAGGGTGCTGTATCAGATGTCCAGAGACCTGGCGTCCTCCATCATCACTATATTAGGCCTCTAGCAGTTAGGTAATTTGATGTATAGAGCACCAGGCCTGGAGTCAAGAAGACGAGTTCAGATCCAATCTTAAACACTAACTAGCTGTCGACCCTGGGAAAGTCATTTAACCTCTATTTGTCTCAGTTTCCTTATCTGTGTGATAGGGATAAAGATAGCACCTATCTACCAGTGTTGTTGTGAGGATCAAATGAGACAATTTTAAAGGGCTTAGCACAGTGCCTGGCATATAGTAAGCAGTATATAAATGTTAGTTATTGTTATTATTACTGTTATCACTACTGTTGTTATTATGGTATTAATATTAAATATTATTATTATTTGCATTGTATATCTTGGAATTTTTCTTCTACTTTCTCCTTTTTGGTTGGGTGATCTAGAGCATATTCCTGCCATAATATCACTTCTGTTTCTCCCTCTGAGTAAAACAGGTTTCTTCCAGAGGTGATATTTTCCATTACTTCAAGTCTTCAAATGGAGGCTGGGTGACCACTTAGTAGGGATGTTGACAAAGTTGAACGGGGGATTACTGGTTGAACTCTAAGAACTCTGAAGACCTATGCAACTTTGAGATGCTTATGATTCTAAGTTGGCATGCAGAAAGGCTTGTCTGATTGTAGAGTAGTCAGTGTTTACATCTGTACCTTAATCTACATTATTGCTCTTGCCCTAAATCATTGTAACAATCACTTATATCAGTGAATCCCATCTTTTCCAACAGAATGCTAGCTACACTCCTTTCTGGTACAGAGAGAAGAATCTTTCGTTGTCTTTTCCTGGTATTCTCCCAACAAGAAAATGAGATGGCCACCAACTGAAGTTATATATGTTCTCTAGGAAATGATAATCAATGAAATAGCCCTATGCACATATACAAGGATTGACAAAGTTCTTCAAATGGTGTAAAAAGACCCCAGGAAAGAACAGAGCAATGTGCTGCCCAACTATTTCTCTATTCAACCTATAGTTATAACTATTCAGGGTTCCATGGCAAGATTTATAATCATGCATGCTTCACCACAAAATAAAAGGGTGGAGATCTGTGATGAATCCGTCTTCTTCATCCCATTTATCTGCTGGATCCCCTCAAGTTTTCTCTTCCTTGAAGAAATGGAGGCATACCTGTATAGTTCCTCAATAAACTAGGTGTTCTATAGTAGGTAGCCCTACTACAGAAGATGTTAAATAAATGCTTATTCATGATCCAACAATTTCTGTATTAAGTCCTCACGTGGATATAGCACTTAGCACAGTACCTGGCACATATTAATCAATTGCCTAGTGTGCTAGGCAATGGAGATACAAAGATGAACATGATAGATTCCTTACCCCTAAGGAGCTTGCAATCTAATAGAGAGGATGATACCAATATGCAAGGAACTCTAATGCTATTTAGATTACATTGTATGAGAGACTTAAGGAAGATGAGCTCTTGACATAAAGAATATGGAAGACTTGATAGAAGAGGTGGCACCTGCGGAGTCAGACCTTGAAGGAAAATACAGATATCAATAGGCCAAGGCATTAATGGAGTTCATTACTGGCACTGGGAGAGTATATGCAAATGTAGTCAGTGACCAGATGAAATGGTGAGAAATCCAACCTGACTAGACCAAGGAGCTTGTGAAGGAAAACAGAGTGAAATAAGGCTACAAAAGTAGATTCGAGAAAGATTTTAGAAGGCCTTAAGTAGTAATCTAAAGAGCTTGTATTTTATTTGATAGGCAGTAGAGAATTTACTAAAAGATTTTGAGGACAGAATCAATCAATCAATAACCGCTTAATAAACTAATTATGTGCCAAACACTATTAAGCACTGGGGATACAAAGAAAGGAAAAAGACAGTTCCTCAAGGACATCACAGTCAGATGAGGGAGATAACATGCAAATGGCTGTATACAAACAAGATATATTAAGGAAAAATTGGAAATAACAAACAGAGAGTAGGTCATGGAATTAAGAGGGATCAGGAAAGGCTTCCTGTAGAAGGTAGGATTTTAGATGGGACTTGAAGAAAGTCAGAGAGCCTGGGAGACTGAAATGAGGATGGAGAGTGTTCCAGGCTAGAAGTTCCAGGAGTTTGGAAGCCAAGTATTTTGATCAAGGAAAAACAAGAAGGCCAGTATCACTGGATAAAAAAAAAATTGGAAAGGGGTGGGGTAAGTTATGGAGGGCTCTGAATGTCAAATAGTGGGTTTTAGTTTTGATCCTCAGTCAAGACGAGAGGGAGCCAGTGGAATTTATTGGGGAAGGCGACACGACATGATCAGACCTGTACTTTAGGAAGATCACTTTGACAGCTGAGTGGAGGATGGTCTTGGAATGGGGTGAGACTTTTAGCAGGCTGAACAACCAGTGGATATTGCAATAACCCAGGCATGAGAAGATGAGGTTCTGAAGCAGGTTGGTGGATGTGTCAGAGGGCATAGTGACAGATGTTATGTAGCAAACTAGAAGGACCTTGGCAATAGACTAGAATTTGCAAAGCACTTTGTGGACACTACACATTTGGGCCTGTCAACAACCCTGTGAGGTGGGTCCTATAACTGCCATTTTACAGCTGTGGAAGTACAGCTGGTACTAACAACTAGTGTCAGAGGAAGGATGAGAACCAAAATATTCTGACTTCTAAATCTTGTATGGTATCTACTCATTAAATTTAATTCATTAAATTTAATCCATCCATCATTCAATTTTGATCCCAGGTCATTGTCTGTTTTCAGCACCTTTAGCATGTGCAAACATACATGCATGCATGTATGCATATATACATATTATGTACATATGCGTGCATTGTGTGATTACATATCCATATTGTGTACATATCCATATGTGTGCATGTGTGTGTGTGTGTGTGTGTGTATATATATATATATATAGGTTGTGTATGCATGTGTATAAGCATATATCAGTTGTATATCATACATACACACCTAGTAAAGGTGGAGATATGTGTGTTTGTGTGTGTGTTTCACCAAAAGATATTGCCAACCATTTGCCTAATCCTGTTCAGTAACAATCGGTGGCAGAGCAGATGGAATGCTGGGCCTGGAATCAATGAGACCTGAGTTCAAATGCTGCCTCAGACACTTACTAGCTAGGTGACCTTGGGCAAATCACTTAATCTCTTTCTACCAAAGGAGGATGACAATAGCACTTGGTTCTCAGGGCTGCTATGAAGATCCAAATGAGATAATATTTGTAAAGTACTTTGTAAACCTTAAAGCATCATATAAATGATAGAAAATAAAGAATAATCCAACATTGGAAATTCCTTATTTGCATGGTGATTATATATACCATCCAACACTGAAATACCCACTCTGGGGAAAAATCTAACTTTTCTCTGTTTCTCAGAGAGCTGACTACCTGCAACCCCTGGCTCTGATCCTTTTGTGGATGTCAGTGTTTGACTCATTAGCCTGGCAGTGGGATCTGTGAGGATTTCTCCAATTAGAATCCCCTCTATTAGAATATCAACTCCTTGAGGACAGGGATTGTTTTTGCCTTTCTTTGTATCCTCAGCCCTTAGCACAGTGCCTGGAAGTTAAGAAATACTTAACAAATGCTATTGACTAAAAAAATAAAAAGCCACTTGGCTCAGATCCCACTGGGACAACCGTGCTCTCTTTCAGTTTCATTGAAGTCACATAAACATAGCATAATATAGTCAATCACACAATTATAATTTAACTACAGATGGCTTTTTATTCATACTCATGAAAACAAAGAGAATAAAATCAAATATATTAAAGCAACTACTGGCATACCCATTCCTCAACCCTAGACAAGATTTAAGCAATCTATAGGCATGCCCTAAGAGTTCCAGGCATGCAATTAAGGTGCATGGACTCAGATCTCCCTAGCAGCTGCTCCCACTGATTTAGCCAGCACCCCCAGCTGCTTTTCCACTCACAGTCTCCTGTCAATGTTCAGTAAGTGTGGGGTACTCAGGAGCCAGCTCCAGCTGCATTTCCTCTCTAGCTGCTCCAATGCTCTCTAGGACCTCATATTCGTCTTCCCAACTAGATCATCAGCTGAGTTGAATCAGTCCTCTGATCATTCTTCCCTTCTTGTTCATTACTAGTGGAGCAACAGAATAGATTCCAGATAAGACCCAAGAATGAAGAAAGATCCCTCCATGCTCACCATCCCTCCTTATCTTTGAGCTACCCATGCCTTTCTAGGACTTCCCATACAACTTCCTGCTCTGACTCAGCCT